TGCCCTGCCGTGCCGCCGGTGGCCGCGCTGCCTTATGTAAACAGCAGTTACGCAAGGAATGCAGATTTCACCTTACATAACCGTTCGTTCTACCAGAGACCTCTTTATTTGTGCCATTAGTGCCTATAAATGAAAAGGAGGGAAAAGCAGTGTTTGTGTTATTAGAGCTGTATCTCTGGTTCCAAAGTGACTTGGTGACCTGTTTGCTGCTGTGGTACTTTTCAATCAGGCAATTTCGTGAAAGTCCAAAAAAACAGCATGCATACCTAAGTCATATTTGTGTCCTTTTCTGGAGATCTAACAAAGACCATTCATAGTTACTTCACAGAGTGAAAATTCAATACAGACGAAAGGAAATCGAGTTCTGTGTATCTTAAGCGTTATGTTTCAGCTGTCTGTATGCAAAGATAGATTGCCAAGTCACCTAAGTGCCATTAGGGTTGGACAGAAGAGCCTCACTACTCTAGCAGATATTAGGAGAAATCCCGGAAGTGGTGGGGACTGTATCTGTTCCCTAGCCCCCTCCTGTGCAGGCAGAGCATCATCAGGTGGTGTACACGTGGGGTGCGTAAATAGAGTAGTAGATTCTGTCAAGGGCTTCTGTGCTTGATGCCTCACTTAATTCCTTCTATACTAATTTTTGATCGTTTAACTCTTACATACGTTTCCTTTTTGATTTAGCACCCCTGATAAATTGAGGGGAGGGGTGGGGTGTGGGGGGTGGTTTGATTGTGTTTGGTTAGGTTTGATTTCTGTTGGTCTTTCACCCCCTTTCCTTTAGCCTTTTTTCTCCCTAGAAAGGCCTTGACTTCCACAGATACCTTGAAGGATTGGTGTACAGGGGTGCTCTGCTCAGGGTTTTGCTCTGATTCTCTACTTACACATTTTTGACCCAGCACCTTCATACCCCTTTCCTTTCTCATTTGTTGCTAATGCCCAGCCAGCCCTATAAGGAGAATCCAGTATGATCAAAAACATTAGTAGATAGCTGGATAGTGCCAAAGACAGAGCA